AACATATTAATTTGCAGCTCTTCAGTTCATGCAGCTGATTCAGTTCTGCAGAAATATGATGTATTCTGCTATTACAAACATAATTTGTTATAGGTTTAATGAGCTGTAATTAGCCAAACTAGTTACTTGGAAACAACAAATAACAACAGCAGACTGGCCAAAGCATTTCAAAGTGGCCAATCGCCAACGTCTCTGCCAAAATTATTGAGGATTTGGTGTACTGGAAAAGAATTATAAATCTCAAATAAAGGAAGAAGTTGGATTATATATAGTTAATATTATTTTGCCAATGATTTACTGTAGTTTTAGTAATTTCAGCAGGTACTTGGTATTTTATGCTGGAAATTGCCTAGTTTTTCTAAAGAAAAGCATTTTAGAAGCATCCATTCTTAGCACTGGGTAAAATGGGTCACTAAACTGTCATCTTCATCTCACAAAGAAATGACATAGCCTTGCCAATAGCTCTTCCTTTTAAATGATTTGGGATGAATATGGTGAAGTGAAGGATTCTGTCCCATCTTTCTTTTTTATAAACATCAAGAAGCGAATGAAATAGAACAGCTAATGCATGATAGCCTTCACACATTACAGCATAGTCCTCAGGAAACTCTACGCCTGCTAAAGTCTAAAGAGGCTGTCGTGTGGCCATTTTTATTTCATGGGTGCCGGAAGCAATTACTTGAACCAACATGCCCAGCCGGATGTTAATCTGAGGCAGCCACATCCATACAGGTGAAATGATACTCCAGTTCTCTTCCACCAGGGTACAATCCAGAGATGATAATGTGGAGGTGCGTTGAACACATTCTTAAGTAACTCCCCCACACTGAAAAGATAAAAGGGTTGGGCTGCTAGGAGCAGACCTATGGCCAGTGTATCACCATGTTCAACATGTATGTGAGTAAATCAACATTCACGATCATATGGAGAACCCCGACAGATACAGAGCTCCCTGGTTCAGAGTGATGACATGGGGAGGATGTGCCTCTCATTATACAGCAGCTTCATTAGCTATGAGCCCACTGGCAGGCACAGTTCGCTTAAGACCTGTGAGGCCCTACTTGCCTTGGAACCAAGCTGCTGGGAAGAGCGTTCTCCCACAGGAGACCCTCTGAGGAACCTCGGAGAAGGTGCTTCTCCCCCTGCCACCATCATGAGAGACTCGCTGGCAGGAGCGGACCTTCTCCACAATTGCTTCCAGGGTCTGACATTCCCAGCAGATACATGTCCCTGGATTCCAACTCTGTGCGGTTTGCCAACAATCCGGACTAGTGGGTCCAAACCCCACATAACTGACCCAGGGACTTGCAGTGGAAGTGGGTGCACATACAGGAACCAACACGCATGCGCACCCCTGCTGCATTTTCAAAGCTCCAGCCAGTGCTTCAGCTGGGGATCGGATGGCATCAGGGGTGTGGCCACGTGACTGGACCTGCTTGAAGACTGGGTGGGGGCCACGTGGTCCCATCCCTGATCGTTTTATGAATTGTACACCCGCTTATTTCACCTTTATTTTCACTGTGTATCCTCTTTATCTTGCAGTGTCTATCATTTTACGGTACTGAATCTGCCTTGGTCGCCCTGTACGATGACCTGTGCAGGGAAAAGGACAGGGGGAGTGCGTCCCTCTTGGTTCTCCTGGACCTCTCAGCGGCTTTCGATACCATCGACCATGGTATCCTTCTGGATAGGCTTGTGGGATTGGGGGTCGGAGGCACCGCCTTGCGGTGGTTCCGCTCCTATCTCAACGACCGATTCCAGAAGGTGGTGCTGGGGGACTATGGCTCTGCGCCATGGCAGCTTTGCCATGGAGTACCGCAGGGGTCCATTTTGTCCCCTTTGCTGTTCAACATCTACATGAAACCGCTGGGAGAGGTCATCAGGAGGTGTGGGCTACGGAACCATCAGTACGCTGATGATACCCAGCTCTACTTCTCGTTTTCCACCAATCCAGGTGAGGCAGTGGCTGTACTGAACCAGTGCCTGGCCGAGGTAATGGGCTGGATGAGGGCCAATAAACTGAAGCTCAATCCAGACAAGACGGAGGTCCTGTTGGTTGGCGGTTCGGGCTTCGGAGAAGGTGAATTGAACCTTGTCCTGAACGGGGTTGCACTCCCTCCTAGGGACAAGGTCCGCAGCTTGGGAGTGCTCCTCGACCCGGAGCTTTCACTCGAAGCTCAGGTAACAGGTAACAGCAGCGGTGAGGAGCGCTTTCCTCCAGCTTCGGCTGATTCATCAGCTGCGCCCCTACCTGGAGTACGACTGCCTTGCAACAGTGACTCATGCGCTGGTGACTTCCCGTCTTGACTTCTGTAACGCGCTCTACGTGGGGCTACCCTTGAAGACGGTCTGGATACTTCAATTGGTTCAGAATAGAGCTGCCAGGCTGCTGACGGGGACTGGACGTTATGTTCACATGACTCCAGTTCTCCGTCAGCTTCACTGGCTCCCCATTGAAGTCCGGGCCCAATTCAAGGTGTTGGTAATGACCTATAAAGCCCTAAACGGCTTGGGTCTTGGTTACCTGAAGGAGCGCTTACATCCATATATGCCCAGTCGCCCCCTGAGATCGGCGGGAGAGGCCCTTCTCCGGGAGCCCTCCGTGAGAGAAATTAGGAGGGTGGCTACTCGGAGGAGGGCTTTCTCAGCGGTGGCGCCTAAGTTATGGAATGCGCTCCTCAGAGAGGTCCGCCTGGCGCCGTCATTATTTGTTTTTCGGCGCCAGGCAAAGACCTTTTTATTTAAGCAACATTTTAAATGTTAATACCACTGAATTTTATCTGGCCAGGGCGGCTTATTTTATAATGTGTGTTTTAAATTATTATGATTATTTTATATGTATATTTTAACTTATTGGTTTTATTTATTGTTGTAAGCCGCCCCGAGGCTTCGGCGAATGGGGCGGCATAAAAATGTTTTAATAAATAAATAAATTTTATTAAATCTCTTAAAGCACCCACCTTTCTAGAGAAGTAACCTGACAAAGATAAGCATCATTTTCTGGTGAGCAGTCTGGGAAACAAGATGTGGTGCTGATATAGAGAGGAAAAGCCCTAAAAAGGGAGTTCTCAAGCTCACAGGGTTGATAACTCACTTGACTTGCCTGGTAAGGTAAAGACAAAGGTTTCCCCATGACATTAAAGTCCAGTCATGTCTGACTCTAGGGGCAGTGCTCATCTTCGTTTCCTAGCCAAGGGAGCCAGCGCTTGTCCGCAGACAGTCTCCGTGGTCATGTGGCCGGCATGACTAAACAGCGAAGTGCACGGAACGCTGTTACCTGCCCACCAAAGTGGTACCTTTTTATCTCCTTGCATTTGCACGCTTTTGAACTGCAAGGTTGGCAGGAGCTGGGATGGAGCAACGGGAACTCACCCTGTTGTGCACATTCGAACCGGCAACCTTTCGATCAACCAGCCCAGCAGCAGAGCAGTTTAAACCACTGTGCCACTTGCATCCCTGGTAGGAGTATTAAAAAAAAACCTGGTGATGGCAGAGCCAGGTGTACCAATTCAGGTTCCCTACTGTATATAGTGATTCACAAAATGTATGGTGCCTGCTTTATATTGATTTGAGTGATGATGCCCGTCCCACATCCCAAAAAGTCAGTGAATGGGCATCTCTCCTCAGCAGAGTTACAGTGGGAGCAGTCAACTGAATGTGATGCAAAGTGAGGCATCCTATTAGCATTCTGAAGGGCAGTTTTGACAAGAGGTTGCCGGTAAGGAAAATGGGAACACGTGGAAGGACTTGATACATTAATCTGCTACGATGGTGTTTTGTTCCTAAACAAAGACCGAAAATGGGCAAATGAGTGCCTATATTGAGCTACCAAGAGCAGAAAGTAAAGAATGAACTACAGAGGAAAGAATGATAACCAGTTTTGAAATAGACATGCCTGGTCAGAAACGTGGGTGATTATTAAGGATCCTTTGGGAAGATATTACTGCTCAAGTGAATTATGTTTCAACAAGAGCAACAGAATTAGAAATGGAGAAATGCAATAAATATAAAATGAAATGGAGAAATGCAATAAATATACAAGTTGTAATATTGTATATTTATTGCATTTCTCCATTTCATGTTAGGGGATCTATCAATCATGCATTTCCCCCTAACAACTTTTTGTGTTATTTTAATTTTAACTGTTGTAATATAACAGAGGGACATTAGATACATTTCACTTCAACAACAGTTCACATAAAATGTAAACACACATGGATACAGTGGTAAATAGTCTCGTTACTTGTTGATTGTGGACACTCCTATTCCCAAGCTACTTTTGACATAAAACATTGTATGAGGCTTCCGATAAAACCTTATACTAACAATGAAACAACAAAGCCTAGAAACATGTTAGAGCCAAGAAAATGTTTCATATTTTTAATGATTTAAAGAAGCAACCACCTACAAACTTACAAAGCATCTTTACACGTTTTGAAGTTTGAGTGCTGCTTGATTATTCTAATCCCCACAAACATGGCCTTAGGATGTGAGCTAGTTTAATATTCCTCTCATATATCCTATACCCCTCCAATCATTTTGTTTGGTGAAATTAGGGTAAGAATCTCTCTTTCCATCAAAATAATATTTTTGGCTGAATCATTTTTACTGCATTATAGTAAATATTGTGCCTTTTACACCTAATCTTTACTAGCTCCCTGCAGGGTTTTAAGAGTGAAAAGGTAGCAACGGGGGAGACAGGGAACCTTCCAATTTAAATAACACATAGTAGTCTGAGCATATTATATTGAAACATGTGAAATAGGAATGAATATTTAATATATATTTACATGCTTGTTTAGTAATTTCTATTTTCCTAATACATTGGATGACACTTGTCAAATGTCTATGTTCTAAAATATATTTGTTTTCTTTTTAAATAGCATTATTTCTTTCATACTTATAAACCTGCAGACAATTCCTTGTTTTTCAAGTCAGTTGAGTTAAATTAAGAATGATAGTAAGCCTTGAAAGAATAAAGTTTTGTCCAAGTAACTTACTCTTTTTTCTATTATGTCATTGTCTCCTGTAGACTCTTTGCCATCAAGCGTGTCTCTCGCAGCAACTGCATGCTTCTTGTTTGTTGGCTCTCTGTTTAAAGTTGTATATCCTATATGTTCATAAATTGGATTTATGGTCATCTTAGCAATGTATTCCGCCGCCTTGGTTTCAATATAAAGGGTGATCAATCCATCTGTCACTAGGTCGTGGATAGACTCAAAACGTTTTTCTCCGACAAAGTGTTTTCCATCGTAGTAGAGTCTGAAGTTTCTGGTTTGATTTCCAAATCTGCCACAATAGAACAGAGGGTTTTTTTTATTTTGGTTTTACTTTAGTAAGACAACGTTGTGCACAATATTCTCTAACAAACTGAGGCCAGTATATTCTGTTGAGGAATACAGAATGGTCAGTCTTTGGCTTCAATTCCTGAGTTTCAGCTACTGTGCAGAAATCAGAACCTCTTTTAAAACAACATTTTAAAAAAAGGACATAGAGCCAAAGATGTGCTTGGCTTTGAAAGAAAGTTTTTGTCCTCCAGTTACTTAATTATCTTGTGGACAAGCTGCACATTTCTTCAAAAAACAAACACATTCTATGCTCTGTTGCTTTTCTACGAAGAAAAAAGTGATCATAAGAGAGGTTTCTCTGTTGCAGAGTATCAGTGCAAAGATCTGATGCAGTTGTGTGTCTCTACACCCTGTTGCCTTTCTGTAGGAAAAGGTCAAACAGGGTACAGTTGTACTTAAGTGCCAACAATGACACTGGGTGGAACTATTTCCAGATCTGCAGCGATGTAGGACAGAACAGCACAAGGCCAAGTATTCTTCATTTGTGGCCAAAGACCAAGGACTAACTCTTCAAGCTTTATACAAAAGCTGCCCTTATTAAGTCTGCAGTTCAAGAAATCTTTGAGACATACTGGATCTGTAAGCTGGAAGTTGATTCTGAGGTCTGAGTTGGAAGTGTTTTGTCATAAGCATAAGCTGACTTTCTGCACCTGTGAAACATCCCATTTAAAGGTTTCAGCTCTAGGATTTTTCACTACGTCATAGATGGATGAACACCAGTGGATGAACACCATGGATGGATGAGAGCCAGTGTGGTGCAGTGGTTAAGAGCCTGGGACTGGGACTCAGATGATCTGGGTTCTAGTCCTGCTCAGCCATGGAGCCAACTGGGTGACTTTGGGCCCGTCACAGACTCTCAGCCCAACCTACCTCACAGGGTTGTTGTTGTGGGGATAAGATGGAGGAGGAGGAGGATGTAAGCTGCCTTGAGCCCTTTGTAGGAAAAAGGCAGGATATAAATCAATCAATCAATCAATCAACACCACTGGTGCCTGTGAGCCACAGTCAACACTACATTTTATTTCTTATGAACTCCCCTCCAGTGAACATACCCTTAGCTAATTACGCCATTATCAGTCACCAACCAGACAGTAGTAGTTGCTGCTTGCACTGAAACATGTACCTCCAAGGTAGTTATTTTGCATATCCGTAAAGTTCTCATGCATCCACATGCAAGGGAAGTGGAGACTGGTTCGCAAGAGTCCCCTCACACCCCACTCCGAGAGCGACAGCTACAGGATCAGTGCAACCTAAGCATCCAGAGGTGGTGTTATAGACCAGATGTACCTATTTTGGTTGAGGATGCTTCCTGAAACCCCAGCAAGGCAGCTGTAGAGCACTGTGGGAAACTGTGATACAGAGGCAGCCTTGGATTCTGTAATACGTCTGGGGTAGGAAATGAAAAACAAATCCAAGGTGACACGGCACCTGTGATTGTGCAGGGCTACTGTGCTCTGAGCAACTGCACAGAAGGAATGCACTTGGCAAGAATGCCTTTTGCTGCCACTGCAGCAGTATGGCAGGGAAAGCTGCAGCACAGGGATTCTTCCCTGTTGACACCTCCGAAAAGGGAGAGGAACCATTCGTTCCTCCCTTTGTCCTTCACAACACATGCAACTTTCAGTGTTCCCGTGCACTAAGCATTTCAGACTAAGGTTGTCTGGAGCAAAGGTTTCGAGAAAGAGTGAACATGGAGGACGTACTGTATTCTGGTAGTGAGCCATTACATAGACTCTGTTTGAGACTCAATGTTTTTCATGCAGTTTTTTTTGTGGTCATATTCAGCACAAGTGAACACGGTGTTGGTCCTTCAGGTACGCAGAGTGGGCTTACACATAATACAATGGTACAGCTCCTAGCCCATTCAGATTTCAGGTGGGGGAATCACATGCTTAAATTCTCCCCCTGCCCATGTTTATGGAAAACTAGCATGGGCTGAAGAAGGTTTCTAGACTAGACTTCTCCTACGTGCACTAGTTTTATGCCTACTGATGCAGGGAGGGGGTGATTGGGCACATTCAGGCATGAGACCCTTGGCTTCAGCCCTGACAAAGTGCTACCCATCAAGAGTTAGATTTTGCTGTATATGTAGATCAGCTTTGACTAACTCCGTCCTAAAACTTGCTGCCTGCTTCAGCACATAAAAACTGAACTGTGGCACAAAATATGATGCAATGCCAGAGTTTTAGATAAATAATGCAGTGCTAATTTAGCATTAGAGAATAGGTAGGTGCAATGAAATATTATTTGCTTAGCTTTTGCTAATGAGGACACTACAAGAATTCATTACTATGGGTATGGCAAACTGGAAAGGCTGGCTGATTTAAAATAAATTCTGAAGCTCAACAAAACCTTGATCGTATTTGGGAGATGTTTTGATAATACTCATCTCCAACAAACAACTGTACTGGTCCATGGCCAACAGGGATCCAAATGCACTTTGGAACATCTCATAAAATAATATAATCTAGTTCATGGTACCTGGCAAATATGTGTATTTTAACTTGGATTGTTTTCAAAGACCTTATGAAAGTAAGGATATCAACATGGAGACAGCCAGGCACTTGGAAGGCATCTGTATGAGTTGATCTTACCTCCATCTTCCCAATAATGCTTGGGCAGATTTTCTAAGGACCAGAGCTTCTGCAAGTTTCCCACTTTGAAAACACCAGATTACATTTGACATGCTGGAGTGGTTATGCAAGAGCAAATCTACTTGTGAATAAGACCCACAATGGGTGAGCAGTTGGAGCACCTATTAAGGATCATGATGACAAAAAGGATTTACCTCTCAGTCCTTGATACCCCAGTAAAGATCTGTGTCTTCACTGAAAATGATCAAAATACAGAACTGGAGCTGGAACTTGTGAACATGAACCATTACAGAAGATGAAAGCAGGGGGAAAGCGGGGGGACAACATGAGCTAATGATACAACTACACCCTTGGGTATATGATGATGTAGATTGTGAACTGTTGACTCCCAAATTGTGCAGAGCAGGGTGCTGGAAAAACTCATTCACAGAGTAGCACTTATGTGAGTGGGTGTGAGGCATCCGGAATTGTCTGTCACGGAAGACTGTGTTCTCCATGTTGTTTTAATTCAGAATAGCGTCATTCTTGCTTTAGGATTTTTAGATCAGAGTAGGCAAATACATTTAGGATCATGAGAGGAGCATTTTACAGCAAAGTCTATAGAAAGTAGTGCTTTCTGCTGCTTTTGTTTTAACAAACCTTTATATTCAAGCTTTAAAATTTCACGGAAAGTAGTTTGTGAGAGGAATTAGACTTTCCCCTCCTCACTGCCCCACACCTTTCTCAAGTGCAAACCAGGTGCTTGACCAAACGTGTACAGATCCCATTCTCCCACTGTGATGCTCTAACACCCAGGAGCCATTGGGAACTGCAGCCAGGAGGATACCCTTTAAAAACCTTATTACATAAGCAGCTATCTGCTTGCAAAACTCCAGTGTGCAGGGATATATTTTTTTAATTTCCATGAAATTAGATTTAAATACATATTTCCTTTCAAAGTATGCATTTCAAAATAAATCCTAAAATAACATTTCATATGGATTTTGTTAAGTTTTGCTTTTTTTTCTTTTGAGCTAAGAACTGCATTGCAAAATGTGGAGACTTCTGTAAAATATCAAGGACAACCACATTCTGATCTTAGCCTGGAAGATGTGGGATAGGTCCAGTCACTTCAAGATTCAGGGCAAACAAAATGCTTGAGCATCTCTTAAGGTAACAGCAGGGAAAACATGGTTACGAAGGAGATGCTGAACTAAACAGGTTCTTGATCGGATCCAGCATGGTTCCAGTGTAAGAATAAGTCCACAACAATGGAAGTATGGTTAAATGGTACCATCAAAGAAACCATTAATGGCAAGGAAACTTAGGAAAGTAGAAATCTTTCTCAAACAATGGATATGTAACAAAAGAGCACAAACTTTGGCAAAACAAAGACAATGGTTAAGTAAGTAAACAATACATCTGAGGACCAAAATTGCCAAATTACACAAGACAAACTTTTCTTTGTTGAGGGGCAAAGACTCATTCAGTAAGAGGAAAGATGCAGCCTCCTCTGGAGGTAGACGGTCCCCAAAAGTAGACACCTGAAAAATGCAGAGAGGATATCCATGTTTGGACAAATGGAAAGGGAGGATGCATCTGGGAGGTTTTCTCCCACTCAGATTTAATTTGCCATACAGAGAATATGAGGTGCTTTTAATGCCCATCGATTTGTTAAGGCAAACATTACCAAGTTCCTGAATCTTGTTTCCAGGCCTGACTGTGTGAATTTTGGCAATATTTCTGGTATTAACTGAATAATTGCACTGGCATATTAACCTTTTGGGCAGCGTTCTTATGCTCTGGAGAACTATTCAGAATAACCAGCAGGAATTGTTAGCAGACCTTGGAGGAACACAGAGGTGGCAGAGAGAAGAGTGGACAGAGAATAACATATTCTCTTATGTTGGTATCTAAGGTTGGTTTTCAATTTGTATTAGAGGGCAAAGTAGGACCAAGACTAATATCACTTTTTGTCCCCCTGTTTCAAAGCTATGAGGTGCTAGTGATACCTTTCATTGTAGCTTGGGCTATGGGGTTCTGCTGTGGTGCAGTTCTTGAACAGAGGTCAGGTTCCATCATATTTCTCAAGACATAAGATGGCAAGAGATCAGCACCATGGAAAGTTCCAAGTGGTGCTAGGGCTAGAAACCAGGCAGAGTTGTCTGTATGTTGTGCCAACAGACGCAGAGAAAGACTGAGGCTTATCCAGAAATGAACCTGCCCTTAGGCTGTTTGGCTCCACCTGACTCGGGCATGGACTCTTAAAGGGGCATGCCCTGTTTCAGTCATTTCTGGGGTTCCTTCTGGTGAACTGGGTCCTGGAGAAGCAGAAGCCTCAAGATACCTGTCTGTGGATGAATCATTT